TTAGATATGTAATGTGTAAAAATTGTAAGTACAGCCTCTCCCCAGCTTACGATGAGGTTACGTTCTGATATATCGTATATCGTGAATATCGTAAAGCGAAAATGCATTTTGCACCTAACTTAAACATAATAGCCTAGCATAGCCAACCTTAAACATGCTTAGAACTACCTATTTTAAAATAAAATGTTGAATATCTCATTTATTGACTAATGTACTGAAAATGAAAAACATTTACCCAACGCAAAGTCGAAATATCGTAACACGGACAATCGTAACCTGGGGAGCGTCTGTATTTAGGGATTATTTAAAAGGTCAACTAACCAGCTTTAATGCTAGCCATGCGAGATGAAATCTCATGTACATAAAGTTGATTAACACCCAAGCTGACGGGGAAATCCCAGGGACCGCTGGGCTTAACGCTTCTGACCGCAAAGCTTGCTGCAGAGCATCGTAGCCACATTCTGGATGCACCAGTGCATTGTGGGCAAACTCCCAAATCACAACATACAGAGTAAAAGTGCAGCACCAGTCCTTGTCCAACTGACCTGTCGACTTTGGCTTTGAAATCCAGAACCCCAGCGATCAGTTTCGACGCAAACCTAGAAGAGACGTAGCACTTAGACAGTAAGTGCCTAAGGAGAGCTGACATTCACACATCGGTACATCAGCTTAGTTTCAAGTTTCAAATATTATTGTCAAAGATGTTCCAAGGGACACGGTGAAATTCTTCTGCTACAGCTGCAGAGGAGGGGACAGATGCATTTGGGGACAGGACAAACAGCAGTGCAATACAAGACGAGACAGTACAATACAAGAATGAGTAAACAATGAGTAGTAATAAATATGTACAATGGGGATAAAAATGCAAACAGCAATATATTAAAATAAATCTGATTAAGTGCAGTGGTTCAGCATTAATAATGTGTAATACTAAGCAATATTGGCGCAGATGCAGGTCACCGGTTGTTTAGATGGATCGGGAAGGTGATGCACCTTCAGCATCTTCTCACATCTACCCATAGCTTACGTTCAGTTCTAATAGGGGTCATGATCTTGGCGAAAAACTCCTCACAAGGCCTCCTGATGGTGTCAATCCAAGACACAATACAGTCCCCACAGCGCCAACCGGCACATTCACAGAATTATTTCAGTGTTACTAATGTCAGAAATCAGAAACTTTATTGTCATTATACAAAAGCATGACGAAACTTGCGTGCAGTCCCTTGAAGTGTAAAAATGATAGAATATTAAAAGCAATAAAATAAAATAGTTTCCTTATGTACAAAGTAATATGTAACAGAGCGAGTTACTGCACATTGTAAGTTTAAGAAATATTTCACAGATTTAACTCTATAAGGTATTGCACATGTTTGTGAAAGAGATGTCACTTGAAACTGGAAACAGTTTAATATTTTTATATTTTCTCTGTCTGGATATAATAATTATTGTGTTTTTCTTATCTAGAAGTGAATCAGTTATGATCTCCCTAAAGTTTTCCTACAACTTACTGGTATATTTATTGCGGATAAACCTGAAGTGACACACATCCAGGCAGACAGCCATCTTTATGTGGCCGAGTGTGCGGTCATGCTGGTGTGCATTTCTTTTACTTCTGGAATGTTCCTTTATCTCACGAGCAGCCTGTCAGGCTTATTTCGCTTTGCCCACAGTACTCACATGAGCTGACCCCTCCAGTCCGAGTAGTCCTGCTTTGGCAGGGCAATGGCAGGGTTGGAGTGGCCTGCCAGGGGCTGTCTGCTCTCCAGGTATGCCCACTGCACCCACCAGTCTGAAATCTGGGGGGGGGGGGCAGAGCAGGACCGAACCATCACACTACTGCCCCATTGCCCACCCCAATACAGTACTCCACGGACATGTACCAACATTCTGTCTGATATACTGAGAATGTGTTTGTCTCATTGTCCAATTATTTCACCTTTACCCCTACAATCCCCTTCAGTATAATTGTTCCTACACGATTTATCGATCTTTCCAGCCTATGCTGCCGTTTAAATATTTCATAAAACGGCACAGTCTACAGTCTTATTTGCGTTAATGTAATAAAATGAAGGTCCCCAGCAGGAACGCTAAAACTTTCTCCTACTCACCCAGTTGTGAGAAAACCGGGCTCTTTTCTCCAGTCCTTGCTGCAATCTCTCTCCGAGGCCACCCTCTTGCCCAAAGAGTCGCACCATCTCACGGGTGTGTTCCAGCTCATCCGGGGGAAGCAGGGGCTCCAGGGCTCGCAGGTACCTCTGCATCGTCTGGCCCAGAGGGGGTACCGGCTGCGGGGTCACCGGAGCAAATCGGGAGTGTCGCCTGCATGCTACCTGCGACAGCGCGATTGACGGAACAGAGCAGACAGCAGAAATAAACACAATTATTCACGCTGAAGGCTATTTTATATAAAAGCGCCTTTATGTTCAAAGGAACAATTTTTAAAAAGTATAAAAGCAAATGGGGCTCATTTAGTAGATAATAACTTCAAAGACCACAACAGATTGTCAAAATACTGCAGGCGAATTAAGTTTTGAGGGCGTGTAGAGTTGTAGGGCCACACATTTAAAAACATTACAAAACAGGAAGTTATCGAATATGGAAGTGAGAACTTTAAAATCGTGCTAATTTAAGCTAAACCGTTTAAATGAATATAAACATATGCTCTGACTGGATCAGAATTCAAAACGACTCGTAATGCACAGAAGCAATAAACACCCACCTGAAAAACAAGGAGAGTTCCTTGTTTTACACTTTGTATTTTCCCCCAAATCATTATAACCGTTAGAGAGGATGACGCCGGAAAATATAGGCTGGCGAATGCGTCCAACTAAGCGGCCAAGAACTGAAAATCAACACGTCCAAAAAAACATTTACACGAAGTATCTCACTGTCACGTCTCAGTAACACGATTTGGCTCGTTTTCAGTCTGGGTGACTGCAGAACTACTTCCAGGAATAATCAGCAAAGCCACACTGATACTTTGTATAAAAAAGTAGGTAAAGCGGGCGAGTTAAGGCACCCATAGCCGAGAGAGGCTGGGCGCCGCTTACAGCAGAGTGAGTCAAAGTCTTGGAGTTCGTGATACTCAACACGCAATAACTGCGGGACAGTACGCCGAGCCCAACACGTGCCGCGTCTTTCCGTCAACCCGAGGCGTCGAGACGTAATCCTTCGGCTATACGGGTAAGTTGATTTACGGGCAATTACCGTAGCTGCTCGCAATGTGTTATAAATTATAATGATGTCTGTATAATGCCATATACTATGGGTAAGAAAAAAAGTCAGATGTTTTCTGCAGTTATATTAACCCTTATTGCTTAATGATTTGATTTCTTACCTATATAGATTTATCTAGAACAACTTCTTTGTTTTGTATAGATTTCAGGCTCCGGAGCCCGCGACCCTGAATATTATACACGGTTAAAGAAAATGGATGGATGTGTATAGGCTTGTATTTTTATTTGCCGTTAAATTACACGACTCAGTAACCGAACAAATTATACATTACAATACGTTAACGTGTATGGAAGACGAGATAGGTCATAAAATGTATTTTTTTTTGTGACATGATATATGGAAATATTTACGTTTTACGACAAAGTAACGGCAAATACACTCACTAAAGGATTATTAGGAACACCATACTAATACGGTGTTTGACCCCCTTTCGCCTTCAGAACTGCCTTAATTCTACGTGGCATT